TGCTAGTGTTCGCTCATTTTCCAGGAAAGATCTCGGAATTTGGCTTCTTCGAGAATGTCTTCCTGGCTACGAATTCGTGGCGTCCGCGCGTCGTTGCAAGACCATCCGTTCTGTAAAGCGACAGCAGGAAATGTGCGAGTCGAACAACGCCACCCAGTATGATTTTTGCCCCGAAAAAACTTCTACCGAGGTGGGTAATTTTTCAAATCAATGCCTATATCACTCTTTGGCTGGATCACAGCTCAAAATTTGTGAATTTGATCAATTTTGGTATTGTCCCATCATTGAAAATTGTACCTCTCGTGACGAAAATTATCTACCGCTAAAAGAAATGACTGAAAAATTTTTTTCGATTTGGACTGTTTTTGTTTGTTCTGTCCCCACCTCTTTCCGCACCCTCCACATTCAATTCGTTCAACAATTTTTTGTCATAGTATTGTCGCTTTTTGCAATTTCAGTATGTTGTCGAGGAAATTCGTGAAGCTCCACGTCAGTGCTCGTGCCCTAACGGCGAAGAGAATTGCGTATGCCCAAGTCCGGAAATTCTAGAACCAGTTAACGTACCAATCAACTCAGAAAAGGCTCGACGTTCACCGGTGAGCACTTCGGCGGTGTATAACTAGTCCTTAGAGCACACTTAGTCATCATAGCTGTTAGGCGATGTGTTTGACAAGTAGGCGAGAAGGTGCGCTTTTTCTCACTTCAGCAGCAGCAGCAACCGCTCCAGTTCTCACAGTACCAGTCTTGCCCATGCCCAGTTGCTCAGCCAGCTTGTATGTGTGTTTCACAGAATGGAGGGCAACCTGTAAGCTCTCAGATCAGCTTATAATCAAAATTCACCACCTCCAAGAATTTGTGTTATAGGCCCTCATGTCCATCAGTTGCTGTCCCCAAGCGCAGGCCACGCCATGCGTATGTCAGGTGCAGCAGCAGCCACAGCCACAGCCACAGCCAATGCAAGTCATAGAGCAGGTTCGTGCATGGTCCAAACCATTAAGAATTCCTTTCTAACTGCGAAAATCCTCAGCCACAAAATTGCCAAACCACAACCACCCAGCAGCAGTACTGTCCTCAGCCAGTGCCCCAGCAAGAAGCTGCCATCATCCAACCACAGCCCTGCCCACTTGGTAAGACGAATGCTCTAAAATTTCTGGCACAAAAAAATTCTGATGTTTTTCCAGTACAAGGCGGTGGAGTACAAAATGCCCAATATCAAGGAATTTGCTCATGGATGATCGATCCGCTAGCAGTTGATCCCGAATCTCGTGCCCACTATCTCCAGTGCCAGCCAGCTCCCAATAACTTGTTCTGTGGCCGATGGCAACGAATGCCTTGTCCTCCGGCCACCGTTTTCGACGTTCAAGCGCAGGTATTCCCATTATTTAGCTCTGAAATTCGATAAATTGTATATCCTCCGCTCAGGTTTGCGTTTGGGACACAACGGCCACTCCACAGGCAGTCCCTCAGCCAATGCCTCAGCCGTTGCCTCAGCCCATGCCTCAGCCGATGCCTCAGCCGATGCCCCAGCCCCAACCTATGCCTCAGCCTCTGCCTCAGACTCCTATGGCTCCTTGCTCGTGCGTGGGTGGTGTTCAAATCGGTTCATGCAATCAGAACTACCAATGCCCTGGGCAATCCGTATGCCAGGTCGGAACGCAGCAAGGGCAACAGGTGAGAATAAGTTCTTCAGCCCTTTGAAAAATCTCGGACAGCATTGCATTAACGGACTGAGGTGTTTCGCGATGTTTGCGCTAAGTTTGCCATCTCAAGTGCGAAACGGAAGAACAAGCACTTCTTCCACCGCTTTGACATATTCACACAATAGAACTTCCTCGTTTTTCAGTGTATGGTATGCTGCTACTTCCGTAGAAAGGTGCGCCGCTCCTAAGCTTCCCTCCACTTCTTTTCTCGCCATCCGATCCGCTACTGCCAGCTTTCTGTACATAAGTGGATGACATCTCACTAAAATATTCGAAAATGACATTATATAATAGGCAGTGTTCGATGTTGAACCTACCATTATAATTGTATCCGTTAGTAGTGTGGTCAAACCGCGTGTTCATCGTTTTTCCGGGCTTTCTCTGGTGATTATTATTCACTGCCATGATGATGTGTTGCAATTTAATAAAGTTCTTCATATGATTTGATCTACCACAAGTGGAAGCAGTACTGAAAATAGTGGAAGAATAGATGAGAAAAGGAGTGACTGAGTCCATTTTCTTCGAGTGGAAAAGTGTTTCACATACTCGATATGTATACGACTCTTGAACATTACGTGCTGACCAGCTTCTGTGTTTGCGTAGTTTTCGAGTACACCAGATTTATACACTTGAGCACAATCTGCGGCAACACTGAATTGCACAAAGAGTTACAGTTAGTTACAGTCACAGTCTGCAATCCTTCTGCTGTCCTGTGTTAGCCGTAAATGTACGGTTGCTGACTTGTGATGGAAATTTTTGAAATATTCTATCTCTCATACAATGTGCAAGTGCAACTGGCTTACTTCACTATTATAAGAGGCTAGCACATGAAATAGTTGATTTGGCTAGACGGTTCAAAATATTTCAAGAGGCTTCGACTCCGTCTGAAGAGTTCAATCCAATGCTGAATGATCACACGAAAAGTTGGATCATAATAGAGCCTTTGCAGGAGTTGATATCAGCTTGATTAAGATTTACGAAAATTAATGCCAGGGCACGCAAGTACATAAGTCTACAACTGCCATCCTACAATCAATCATCTGGGTCGGTAGTAAACCTGTCCAAAAGCGCAGCTCAAACTCAGAATTAACTCCGAGTTAAAGGCAGTGGGTCGGCAAAACTTAATAACTCAGGATTTTGACGTGGTAGGTTGCTTATCACCCAAG